AACAGAGACCTACGGGTAACGCTTGAAATATTTGTACAAATTTGACGGCACCTGACTGTTCATGTCGGGCTTTGGTCGAGTTTGGACTCTTCTAATTTTCAATTTGGTCAGGTTCAAATTACACAGGTTTCTCATAGTTTGTCTCCAACCTTTAATGGATTTTTGCATTTACTCTTGCTTTACTTTATTTGTCCTCCCTACTTTCATTACAATTTTTAATCTGGCATGCTGGTGTCCACTCAGTGTTCACACTGTGGAACATGATGCATGAGCAAAAATGAAAGAAAATTTAAGAAAAACTCTTTTGGGATGGTTAAGACAGACTTTTTTGAGTCTACAGTCAGGTTCAGACAGAATTTTAGCAGGTGACAGAAAAACTGAATCAAGCTTCAAACAAAATTTTGTTGTGCTACAGTCAGATTGGGTACAGAATTTTGTTGGGCTACAATCAGGTTCTGGAAAAATTTTGTCAGGCCACAGTCAGGTTCAGGAAGAATTGTGTCAGTCTACAATCAGGCTTGACCAAAATTTTGTCGAGCTGCTGTCAGGTTCAGGTAGAACTTTCTGAGGCTGCAATCAGGTTTGCATGAAATTCTATTAGGCTTTAATCAGCTTCAGAAAGAATTTTGCCTGCAACATTCAGGCTCAAAATTTGGTCGGGCTACAGTCAGGTTCAAAAAGAATTCCAGCAAGCTTCGTTTGGGTTCAGACAGAACTAAGCTGTGCCACAGACAGGTTCTGTCATAATTTCATCAGGCTACAATCAGGTCCAGACAGAATTTTGTCAGGCTTCATGTGGGTTCAGAAAATTTGTTGAGCTCAGTTGGGTTGGGACAGAATTCTGTCAGGCTACAGTGAGGTTTAGGAAAAATTCTGTTGGGCTGCAGTCTGGTTCGGTAAAAATTCTTTTGGGCCATGGTCAGGTTTGGAAAGAATTTTGTCGGAGTAGTCAATCCCAGGTCTACATGGGGATCCAAGCTGCTCTTCAGGACCAATTCACTAAACAGCTCAGCTCTCCTTCAGCTCCCGAACACTAAACCTGTCGGGCAGCTCACGCTGAGGGAGAATGAGAGGTTTATGATGGCATTCACTTTCTCTAATGAACCATGTGTGAACCGTGTGTGTGTATTTTGGGTTTAAGGCAAATTATACCATTAAAGGCTCTTTCACACTTCATGACTTGTACAGACGTTTTTGCTGTAATTACAAGCACCTTGGTGTTCTGGAGGGCAGTTTGTGTCAGGAGATCCGTGGAATACCGATTGGGACAGTCAGAGAATTTAAGCACCCTGGCTCTGGAGCAACCTTGCCTTGCATATTTTGGTGTTTTCCTGCACTAATACTCTCATTTAACCAATCAGCTAATTAACAAGCCCTTCCTGGTTGAAGTGAGAATGTTGGAGGGAAAACAGTAAAATGTGGAGGACATAGATTTGGGAAACACTGTTCCAGAACATCGTGGCCATGCTGTGAGTTACTCTTTAACCTAGCCAAGTATGGAATACAGCTACAAATAATTATGATCTCAATAACTGGCTAACCTATGAAGTATTACTTGATTCATAAACTTGTTACTGTTACTAACTATTACTAACTACTATGCTTTCTTTGGTTTCTCTATCTTTTCCACTGTCATTATTTAAAGTTGCATTTGTGTAACAAGCAAATTCCTCTTTAATGCCTTTCACGGAGCAACATCTTATAGTGTATTGCAATCTGTTGTAAAGACAAGGTGTATCAAGTGAATATCACAGAGCAGTAGTGCTGTTATTTTTAAGCAAATGGTGTGTTGACAAAAAAAAATTCATGCTGACATTTTTTCGTAATCAACGTTATCGACTTTGTCAACTGTTGTAGTACCAGTATGAAGATATAAAACCTAAAATATGTACTATAAAAGTGAAACACATCATCCTCTGAACTCTTTAGTGTAGGCTTCTCTTCGAACATGTACAAGTGCACACGGTGCACTGCAAAGGCCACCACTGTGTGCATGTGTGTGGTGATGATGGTGATAGTCATGAGCAGTGGGGGTTTATTACAATCTCAAAGCAACTCTGATTACCTCTCTGAATGGTAAAGTCTTTAAAAAGAGGACATGTTGGACGCATTCCAAACCCCGTCCAAGTCCCTTAAATAGCACCCTTCAAATCACTTCCATGAGTTCTTCATAGCCAAGAGCCGAGAACATAGCCTTTATCCTCAGAGGGGGTCATTTGAGCAAGTCGTTCTCTCTCCCTGGAAGGCACCTCAAATCGATACCAGAGCGACCGGCCCTATCCAGACAAATCTAATCAACACCAGAGCGATCTGGAAAATCTAGACAAACTTAATTGACACCACCCATGAATGGATGCAGCCAGCCCATGCGTACTTAATCGACTTCCGAGTGGGAGGGCCCCTCAAGACGAGATCAATCCACCTCAGAGCAAATAACTGTTTCCTTGAATGCAAGCGGGTGGTTGGAGCAAAAGGCAGGGAAGAAAAGATAGAAAGTGAATAAACCCGTGTTTCTCAGGCGCAGCTGTGCAGGCGCTGACGATACTCAAGCAGAATTTAAATGGCAAAAGAAATTTCCAGAATCACATACGGGAAACAGTCTCTCTGTTTTCCAAACACAGAGATTCGAACGCGGTCTGTTCATTAAGGCTCAATAGCATCTGAGCCGCCTTTCTTCCCCCTTTAATTTAGATCTGAGAGCCACTATCTGCAGTGCTGACATTCTTTTGTTCATTTCTCTCTCTCACTCTCTCTCTCTTTCACTCTCTCTCTGTTCTTTGCTCTCTTGAGAAAATCATTCGTTAAATAATCAATGCAAATGTCGGCCGCCGAGAGGCGATTCTCGGGCATGAGGCTGAGCCTCGTAATGATGTTTTTAATCTTCCCTGGGTCTGGGGTAAAGACGGGGATGATGCTCCGGCCACTGAGAACGGCCTTGGTAGCAGGTAAGCTGAAGATGGAGATGGAGCCTCATACCTGTCCTCTGCAGCAGCCCAGGTGCGCAGTGGGATATGCATTACATCATCGCTCCGGCATCACTCTCCCCCTCCCTCCTCCAGCCCTCTCCGCCTCACACTGCTGCCTGACTGACATCTAATGATACGACTCTGATTCACACGCTGAGCTGCAGTAACACGCAGAGGGCAGATCTCAATCTTCTCAATGAGAGAGCTGTTAAAGGAGAGGATGCGAGGGTGAGCTTTATCAATGCGGACTCTGTTAAAGGGGCGGTCAATCAGGAGACGGAAGCAGAAGACGGAGATCCGCTGCTTCCGAGGTTTCTAGAAGGTCGTTAAGAGTTCTGGAAGTTTGAATGGTTCCAAGAGCTCTTAGTGAAATTTATGTTGGTTTTGAGGAGTTTTGCTGCTTGAGTGGACTTTAGACTTGGCTTCAAAAGCACGTCAGAGGTTTTAGAGTGGGGCTGTGCCAAACTGTGGAATGAAAGATGTGTTTTGATATGACAAGAGAAGAAGACATGACAGTAGAAAAAAAGAAAGACAATCAAAGACCAAAAACAAATAAAATGGGACCACGATTATGGAGGGAATCACTGAGGTGTGAATCAATCACGAAGCCATGGTCTCATGTTCCACGCAACCGGCAACTGCGCAATGACATTGTCCCTCATGTGATCAACGAGACCGCCGTGGCCATGTCACTCATGTAACTGGCAAATGTGCCATGACCCCATCCCTCAAACAGGCAGCAAATGATGTGCCACAACCCCATGTCTGATGTGCCCAAGAAATGCATCAGCATCTTGCCACGCATCTAAATGCCAAGCGAATCTCTGATACCAAGTGTCTCACGTGAGAAATAAAACAGCCATGGCTATGTCACTCACGCAACTGCCAAATTGGCCTTCTTTCCAATAGGCAGTGGATGTTGCGCCATGACCCCATGTCTCATTGGCAAACGCATATCTCACGTATGCCTGCGTCTCACGTGACTATCAAACGTTGCCTGAATCTCACACCATGGGCAAAACGCAGGGCACAGCGACCCCATGTCCAGATGAGCATTTGACCTTGGCGTGTGCCGGCAAACAGTGGAAGATTTCACCCTCCTCCTTCCGCCGTGGCTCAGTTCACGCCCCCTCTGGAATGACTGCTTCCACATGGGGTCACGGCTCCATGATTGAAAAGTGGCTCAGAGATTACAAGAGCAATCCTGGTCCCTAATCACTCTGGTTTGATTGTGGTCAGGATTTGATTGCCGTCACTTTACTTCTTCCATCATCGGTTCTTTTCTTATAAACACACTTCATGGTACCTTTTGGTGTGAATGATCTGGAGGTGCAAAGGTGGTTGCACGTTTGTTACCTGGGGTCTAAGAGCAACCAGAACCAGATTGCGTTCAAGAGCAGATCCCAGACCAGTGGAGGAGAGCGGGGGGAGCCATCTTCCCCCTCCTGCTTGCGGCACAGTGCCGCGTGTGGGTAATGAGAGGGGAGGTGCGAGGAGAAGCCGCGGCACGAGTAACAGGTTTTTCTGCATCCTGCTCCAGAGTAAATATGACAATCTGTTGCTGCGATCCGCCAGGGAACCGAACTAACACAGCCACGAATACAGGCAGAGGACTGGAGACTGAAATCCAGCCATCACACTATTACCCACACACACTCTCACCCCCCCCCACACACACATATATTTACATATATATATATATATACATATATATATATATATATATATACATACACACACACACACACACACACACTCAGAGTATCAAGGGAGTTCTGCAAGCACATGAGGGGGTGGGTCAAGAGGGATTGCATTGTAAGCACCCCAATACACACACACTAATATATACGCACACATGTGAAAAGGGGGGCCCGTCCTGAACACTCGGCAAGGACAAACAAGCCACTTCGACTCATGGAATGAATGGAGGGACGCCGATGGAGGACGATGAAAGAAAAGATGAAACGCACACAAAAAACCCATCCGGACGCACCGCATTCAACAAGTCAACAAAAGGGGAGCTGGATCTCTCACCCATTGTGGCGAGCTTGTGGTCCAGATCAGCTCAGACGGCCATGAACGCGGGGCGCAAAAGAGCCGGCGGCTGTATGGGCATGGAGAAGAGCGTTCAGCGTCGAAGAATTCGGCCGGTCGAACCTCTTTTCTCCCCTCTTTCTCCGGGTTAGTCTCCAAGATACAGGGGGACAACGTCAGAGAGTCCTTCTCTCCATCCCCACAGAGCGCCCCGTCTCTTGCTCGTTCTCTCTCTGATTGTGTGGGATCTTTATGCAGCTGCCGTACGTGTGTGTATCTACGTGAGTGTGTGTGTGTGTGTGTGTGTGTTGGAGGCAGAGAGGCTGTGTATTGTTCAAGCGGCGGAGGACTAAGGGGGAATCTTCCTACTGCATCACCCTCTCCGCTCTCTCTCATCCATATTCATGGACAACTCCGGCGCTCTGCAGCATTGTACAGAGAGGCACCTAGCGTGTCCAATCACCCTGCACCCCTCCCCAACGTCACACACACACACACACACACATCTACACACTAACACACACACACACACAAATACACACACAAGCTTTCTTCTTCTTCTTCTTCACCCCCCTATTTGACGCAGCACGGCAAAAGACATAGCGCCCCACGCACGTTCGGGCGAAAGACGGAAAGGTGGGATGATGGAGGGAAGGTTGCGGAGGTAGAGAAAGAGTGAGGGAGTGACCTTGCGCGAGGCGGCGAGGAGGTGCGGCGAGCGAGGAAAGGGGGTGGAGGGGCGCTTCGGACGGCCATGTTGGAAAACGCGGATGGAGAAAGAGGTGGAAAACACAAAGGGAAAAAACAGAGGGAGGGAAAAGAGGCAGAAAGAAAAGAAAGGGAGAGCAACAGACAGTGGGGGGGGGTGGGTTAAAGGAAAAGAGGCCGAGAGATGGAGAAGCGAGGGAAAGACGTGAAAATTGAAGGGAGTGTTTTGCCGCAGAGCAACCGGCCAGCTAAATGACCGCCTATAAATCCTACACATCTATACCAGCCAGGACGTGAACGTGTGTGGTTCTTTTAAGGGGGAGGGGCATCGTCTCTAACCCCCACGGTCACTCCACCATTTGCATAGTGCCATTTTTCATCTCACAGCGACAAACTGTCTATACGGGACTGTGTGTGTGTGTGTGTTGCGCAGTGTGTGTGTGTGTGTGAGAGAGGCAGGGCAGGATGTGCTAGAATGCTCAGGCAAGCCAATCACGTTCAGAGCACGGACTGGACATTCTAGAATCCATGAGCCCCTCCCCTCCCTACCACCTGCCCCATTCACAGTCTACTCACGTCACCATACACTGCAAGGGCACCTGTGTCCTTCTCTCTAACACACACACAGACAAACACCACGCTCATGCTCTCACACACTCCCGGCACCTGCTATCTAACAAACCGAGGTACCAGAACACGCAACCCTGCCAAAACCCTGCATCAGAAACATTAATGTGCCGTTGCGACTGCGGCTGTTGTGCGAGGCTACAGCACACACGTACACCTGCCTCAGCGCGCTGAGCGACTGCGAGGCTAAATTAAAGTCGGCAGTTGGTGAAATTGTGTTCGCGTGAAGAGAAGAAGGAGAAAAAGGGAGGATAAAGCAGGGTAAGCAGCCACTCTCTCTATCAATCACTAGGGGTCAAAGTTCATGCTTAACAAATGCATCCCATAAGCACCGGTCAGGAGGTACTGAAAACAAAACACGAAGTGTCCTTAACAGCTGGTTCAGTGTGTGAACACAGCGTTTTAACAATGACTCAACTCAGCATTTAAATAAATAAATAAATGATTGACTGAATGAATGAAAAAACAAATAAATAATTAAATGTAGTGGTAGGAAGTACCAAATCCTGACATTTTCCAAATGTATCACAGTATCAGATGAGTTTGCATTAATAAGATGAACACCTTCAGGCTTCCTGAGCGCCGCTGTTCTGCTAAAGCAAGGTCTTGTATCCGGAGCTGTTTTGTTATGTTTTCTTCTCTTAAAATGACATTAAAGAGTATCTTACGCTTTATTATAAATGGTAACCAGACGGCAGCCACATTTCCAGAAAGCAAACTTAGGTCACACTTTATTTTGATAGTCCCATCTAGATATGTTCGAATTCTCAACTAAATCAGGAAGCTCATTAATCTCTTATTGATTATCAATAGCATGAAGGTTAGGGTTAGGGTTTTGGGTTGGAGTTAATGTTAAGATTAGGTTTAGGTTTTCTAGGTCTAGAACCGGTTTTATCTTAAACTTAAAGTTCAGGTGCATTTGCTAGATATTTCGTTGATTTACTTTATTTAGTTGAATGTTCGTTAAAGAGAGGCTGAGTGTGTAGAAAGCATCGACAGAGAACTCTTATTTCAAACCTGAATCTAATACGAATCACATACTGCAATTCAATCAGTTTTCATTATCTATAAATACTGTTTAAAACTAAAATACTACAAAATCAATGCCACAGTGTGAATATCAGTCTAGATGTCCAAACTGCGATGTTACATTTATATCGCTGTTGTCAGAAGAAAACCTCGTTTCTCCAAAATGGTAACTTTACAGGAGAAGGAAAAAAACATACTTTACTTTTAATGTAAGTCAATGGAACCAGACTTTTTTCCCCCCCAAGTAAAATTCCCAAGTTTCTTTTTGTACATTCTTCATGAAATTTGCACACAATATAAAGGTCAACAGGCATTTTCAAATTATGTCAAAAACTGAAAATCGACAAAAATGGAGATACAAGGTTTTCTACCAACAGCGATATGTAAAATAAAACGGTACACTAAAATCTGTGGACAGATGCCATAATTAACGTTGTTACCTGTAGAGATTGTCCAAATATCAGTATTTAGTCCAAACTGCTGCAGCATATTCTACAGTAATTATACGTTGCTTATTTAAAACATGCCCTGATAACTCCTGCTACAATGCTGGCAAATCAGTAGGTTAGTAGCTACAGTCGTATGCAACAGTTTTGTTGAAAATAAATATATATCCTTACAAAACTTAATGCACAATTACTGTTTACTTGCTGAATTAAACAAATTGCAAAGAAAAAAACATAAAATGTGGGCTGTGCAAAAGATTTAGCACATTTTACACTGTATGTTTAGTTTTGTTCAATATGTTAAACTCAGTAAATAGACAGAAACTGTGCACTAAAGTTTGCAGAAGGTGCCATATTTAAGTTTATCCCCTGTAGAGGATGTAAGCATAAATATGTAATTTGCCCGGCGGCGCTGAAACGTCTGCATACGACTGTTTGTGCATTAATAAATGACACAGCGCTGAGGCTTTTAAATCAGACCCAACTATAATTGAGAAGTCTACACCGAGACGTCCGCTACTCTGCTCTCTTAAAGCGCTGTGTGGGCTCTGTATTGTCTGACTTAAAAGCTTCTCAGGATTGAACAATGATATCCACGGGTGGGATCACGCAGCACTCTGTGTGTGTGTGTGTGTGTGTGTGTGTGTGTGTGTGTGTGTGTGTGTGTGTGTTTCTCCTTAGCCACATTCTTCTCTGGCATTCTGGAGAGATGTTGCTACAATGACACAAGTGCAGCTACAGCTGCACTTTCTCCTCAGCGGGTGCTGTTGTTCCAGTGCATGCGCGCGCACACACACACACACACACACACACACACACACAAACGCAAACTCAACTTACAGCCTAACTCACTTTACTTTCTCTACGTGGAGCACATTAGCTTGCTTTCTGAGCTGGCCTGAGCACGAATCTGGAGAAACTTTTCAAAAATGTGAGCTGAAAAGTGAGATTTTATCACTTATTTTATAATTAATTCAGTCTTTTGGACATGGGGATTACTGATTTTTAAAAAAAAAACATACAAAATGTAGTAAAATCATGGAAAACCTGAATCTTATTTGCTCTCTTCATATAAAGTTTTTTGTAGTATGTAAACATTGTTGAAGTACCATTCACTGCCTACTACACACAACAGCCTATATATTGTCGCTGTCCTCAAAAACATGACCTCCATTTTTATGTTTCTATGTCATTTGAACACGACAGTTCTCTTTTCCATTGTGTGAAAATTTCATGATGATTGGACCAACAGAAATGCCCCAAAATCAATAATAATAAAATCTCTTTTAGAGTTAAGGGCGTTTTTGCCGTCTACTGTAAAGTTACCATTTTGGAGATACTTGTTTTCTGTGGACAGTAACGATGTGGAAACTGTGCCACAAAAATAGTCTGTTTTGAATTTGTGTTTTGATGTCAGGAGAACTAACTCATTTACATATATCCACCCATTGAGCTTGTGGTGGTTTGGCCCCACCCACTTACACAGATGTTATAAGGAGTGTTTCAGACTGGACTGCTTTTTGAACGATACACAAATTCCTTCCTTTTTTAAAATTGTATTTTTGAAGTATTTTAGTAACAAAATATATGGTGTAATGTTATAAAATGCATTTTTTAAAGCTCAATCTGAAAAATTACCTACCTGCTTTATTTGCATTCATTTATTTGCTGGTTTAAATTACATATTTTATTGATTCTCTAAGTGAATAAAAAGCACACATCCTTTACATTGAACCCATTTCTGCACATTTTAATAGGCAATTACTGTTTATTTGCTGATTTAACATATTGGGGAAAAAAATAAAACAAAAAATTGTGTACTTTGTCTGTACAAATGTTCTGGCACATTTTCTATCGTATGCTTTATTTTTCCAGTATGTTCAACTCCATATGTAAAAAAATGTGCACTAAAATTTGCAGATAAATGCCACATTTAAGGAGTGTTACTTGTAGAGGTTGAGTTAATGTATTTTTTTTTTAACTTCAACAAAAAGTGTAATTTGCCTTACATACAAATGTATCATACTGAAGGTAGCTATTGATTATGAATGGGTTAATAACACAAGTTAATAACATGTAAAACATATTAATGTCTAAAACAGCATTAGATTTATCTAACAGAGACGCAGCTGCTAATTTATTACTGCAGTGAACAAGAAGCCTTCAGACAAGCTGAGCTACACTGGGCCTCTTAATCACAGCATTTCCCATTACACAGTTATATTCACTCACACACAAAGCACTTTCATGCCTACGGTATTAAACCGATGTGTAAGATGTGTAAAAATATACAAGTGACTTTAACCCGGCTGAGTGAGACTGACGTTAATGTTTAGGTCCAGCGCAGCGGCACTTTAAGTTAAAAAAATTATGCTACGTGTTCAAAACACTCCACAGTTTCCCTGTCTTTACCCGCAGACTTCAGACGGCTGGGCTTTAAAAGGCCTATAGTCTCTGTTTTCTGATTCGTTGGTGGCTTTAGTTCTCACACAGAGAGAATTAAACCTTTTGTTTCCATTGGAGTCCATTACTGCGTCTGAATAGGCTTCACTTTCGGCGGCCGCTGTGAGCCGTGAAGCGATTCATTCATTTTCCGCCCAATTTAGCCTGATGCCCACAAAGCTGGCTGACACACACCGACCCCCACCAGCACGGCGGGCCC